CGCCCAAGACGGCCTCCAAGACGCCACCAGAGGCCTCCAAGAGGCCCCCCAAGAGGGCCCCATGAGGCAAACATCATTGATGTTCATTGGGCCCCTGAAGAATTTGCAATTTCTCTCCTCTTCGGCTTTCCCACGCTCCAAGACGGCTCAAAAGGCCCCCGAGATCACCCCAAGACGGCCCGACAGGTCTCCAAGAGGCGCACAAGACGGCCCAAGAGGGCCCAAAGACGGCCCAAGAGAGGGGACGTGAACCGAAAATCCCAGCTTTCCGCCCCCAGAGGCCCCAAGAGGCGCCCAACAGGCACCACAGGGCCCCCCAAGAGGCCCCCGAGAGGCCTGGAACAGAAAAAAATGAAGCCCACAAACTGACCCCAAGAGGCCTCAAAACTGCCTCCAAGAGGCCCCCGAGAGGCCCCCCACGAGACCCCAACGAACGTTGAATAAACTTTATATCCACGACGTGGGCACGGTGGCGGGACGGGCCGAAGGCCATTCGATGCGCAATTCTCCAACTATCGCTCCAGCCGCGCCTCTAAAACGTCGCCCTCTCCACCATCGCCTCCAAAGAAAATCGTTGCCTCAATGCCGACCGCGCTCTTCCCTAGCTCCTGACGCCCGCGGCCGCTCTGAAACATCTAGCCCACCGTGCACTTCTCAAAGCGTCGCGTAGAACAATCCTTCGTCACGTGCCGCGCTAGCCTGGCTTGGGTTTCTGTCGGCCAGCATGGCCGAACCGTCTACCCAGCGCGCAGAAACGTCCAAGCGCAACGTTCTCCTTGACGGCGCGGGCCCCCCCCTGGCTTCCGGCACGGCAATGCGAAACCTTTGCTGCGATGGTTCAGATTTCGAGGCTGCTTCGATAACCCCTCTTGCTGCGCGGCTGCATCGTAGCTCCTCCATGAAAGGGAGACCCTGTGGAGCACTGCCTGCAATAATGTCGCCGACCACGCGCTGAGCCCACAGCTTGCGCCTCCACGTTGTTCGACCAAGCTCCTTTCGCGCTAACTTGAAAGGCGCCCAGGCCAAGAGAGAGACAGGCGCCATCGCTCCATGGGGACACTTCAGCTCCGCCAAGCCTGCCGCCAAAAGGTATTGCATTGGATCCGTCTGGTCGTAGCTCGTCGCCCGCGTCGCACCATTGGGCGATCCATTGCTGCCGCCTTTCGAAATTGAAGCTGCGCTACTGGGACCGTTGACCAATGACATTCCATATGTCGCTCGCCCGCTTGTTGACCTCCAACAGATCCCCGATCATCGCCTTCGTCGGGTTCGGCACAGCTCAACCCGCATCGATCGCGCGCCGCGAACACCTCGCAGTACTGACGTTTCCTTGTTCGTCAACTTCTCGAGCGCGTACTTCTTGAATTCGCCATCGACGAAACCTGCCGCGGCACACCTGCTGTCGTGGTCCGAGGTCGAGGGCGATAGGATAATCCTGATACCGGCGGTTCCGTGCATCAATAAACTCATATTGTCCAGTTGAGCGAGCTCCCCATCGATACATCCCGCGCATTGCCTACCTAGCCTTCAAAGAAAGTAAATTCTGGCGACATCCTGCGGCGATGAAGTCGTCAACGTGGACTCCAATGATACCGCGCAGCCTTCGTGACGTGTCGGTGGTCCACGAGAATTGGTCTGTTCCGAGCAGCTTCCACATGTCTTCACCAGCTGCATGGACAGTATTGCGTTCTACCAAGCCCTCGGCGCCGTCGCGGGTCCGTAGAATGCCTTGGCCAGCCGCGTCGCATGCGGTAGTTTCCCTTTCTTATCTAGCACGCAGCGCGCCGGTCCCAGTGGCGCTTTAACGAACACCTCCTTGAAATTGCCCGCGCCCCCGTCGGTTTGCAGAACGGCTGGTGGAACGTCGCCGAGGTCAGCTTGGACTCGCGCGGCGCTTTCGCTGGAACAGCGCATTCCTGCCCACCCCACTCCCCCGAGCAATGGCGTTGATGTCTCCAGCTCCGGCAGGTCTGTCTGCCGGTGTCCGAGAAAGACCAAGCAAGCCTTGGCTCTTCTGTTGCCGCCTCTTGTGTTTTCACATCAACACCCATCTCATGTTGAGCTAACGTCTGTGTTCGTTCGATCTCGAGCATTTCCTCCTCCACCACTTTCGTTTGGACCTCGGTGACCATCGCCTGGTTGAGCTCGGCTCCTTGACCCGCGCCTCGTCAAGCCGCGTATGCTGCCAATGGTCTAGCTCGTCGTGGCTGCCTCGAGGTACCTCAGGTCTTCCTGGCTGTCGTCTTTTCAGGTAGTCCATCTCCTCCAAACGCGACCATTTGGCCATGAGTACTTTGTGTGCGCTCTCGACTCGATCGCATTCGGCTACACACTCCTGCCCAATAGCAATCTCTCCACCGGTACACTCACCAGGACACGCTGGTTCTGGTCCTGCACCCAGCTTTCCCTTGTCGCTGCCCACTTGGACTGATAACGCCTCCGTCGTCTACCGAGCTCTGTTGTTTGGGTAGGATGTCGCGTGGTACCGTTTTCGCTCTGACACGGACTGTTCTCGTAGGTTGACATCTCGATTGCTCTCCAACTTCGTCGCTGCCAGCTCCTGGCGCTGCTCTCGAAGTATATCCATCGACGTCGGTGCTGGTGTCGGAGGTGCAACCCGATTGGCTCGAGATATCTGTTATGCTCTGCCTCATTCCGCTTGGTTATCGCGCCGTTGTTCGGCCAGCCTGGAAGGTGACTCCTGAGGTACAGGCACCGGCTCAAATAGTAGTACAGGTGCCTCGTATATATACACCACACCTTCGTCAATGTCGGCCCCCTGGAATAGGTCTCCTGATAGGTGCTCCCACTTGCCAGTCATCTCGACACACTTTTTGGGATCTGTTTGGGTCGGCTCCTGCACTTGTCCCTCCAATGCTGAACTTACCACCTCTCGGTAAGTGCTGCGAGGTAGCTGTGTCAGGTGTATCCGTAATAATCTAGCCCCATGAACGATGCAAACTACTGAGGAATCGTCGGCCAGCATGTTGTGAACATTTGCCTTTGGTTCGAGCGCTACTACCTGCGCGGGCCCGAACCAAGCTGCTTTGGGTCCTCTGTTCTTTAATTAGCGAAAATACTCACCGCCAGACTGTGAACTTCTGGAGCTGCTGTCTGATCGGATGTCGCATCTTTGTCACGATGCTCTTCTGCTGCTCGACCAAAACAACCCCCTCGGCCAGTACTTGATGTAACGCGGCATGTGCTATGCCATCTCCGTCCAATCAGCGAACTTCCTCAGCAAATTGGTAACCCTCTTTTGCCTGACCGTGCACCCACTTGATTGGCGCGTAGGCTGCCATCTAGTACAGGATGTCGTGTGCAGCACAAGCCAATGCCAAATCCATCGCGATGCTGCGTGCCGAGCGCTTGACCGGCCGTGCCAGAACCTCCGCGTCCGCCGTCAAGCCGTGAAGTTCTCCAGCCCTCTGCGCGAGCCAAATGGCTTTCTTCCCACGCCATTCCCAGAAGACATCGCTCACTTGCCCTCGATAGCGAAGCATGGTCCTGTGCGGGGTGGGCTATCGGGCCCCTATCGGCGATCTATGGGCGACCGGGGGTCGATGCTTCCCCCCTGAGCCCACGCTGGCCAGGGAGGGGCGGCGAGGAGGGCGAGGGAGAAGGAGGGGGAGGGGGGAAGGGGCAGAAGGGAGGGATGGCGGAAGGGAGGGATGGCGGGAGGGAGGAGGGGAGGAGCAACAGGAGGAGGAGGAGGAGGAGGCGGGGCAGGAGGAGGACGAGGAGGAGGAGGAGGAGGAGGAGGAGGAGGAGGAGGAGGAGGAGGAGGAGGAGAATCCCATCCACAAGGTTTCCCTCGAGGTGCCCCTGCGCAGGCCGGCGGCGGAGATGGGCACGGAGGGCGGTTGGGGCAGCGGGGAAGTGAGGGGTGGTGCGAAGGAAGTGCGGGGTGGTCATGTGATGGGCCTGCTTTCCACCACCACCACCATAAGTAGGAGGGAGAAGGGGTCCTCCTCCTCCTCCTCCTCCTCCTCATCTTCCTCCTCATCTTCCTCCTCCTTCTCCTCCTCCTCCTCCACCTCCTTCCCCCCTCCAACTTATGGTGGTGGCGGTGGTGGTGGAAAACAGGCCCATCATCATGAGGAGGAACGTGAGCCGGACCTCCGCTCAGTGCGAATGTTTGTGCGTCCTATGGGGGAGGCCACGCCGGCTTGAGGGGAGCCAGAAGCAGCCAAAATCTACTCCATGGGGGGGAGGGGGGGTGCGAGGGCCCGCGCCGATCGGCAGAGCAAGGAAACGAAAACAATCTCAAGGCACAGGATCTCTCCAGGATGGTTCCAAGAAGCCCCGAAAGCCCAAGACGGCCAATAATGTCCTTGAGATGGCCCAGCACGGACCCAATAGACCCTCGTGAAAAAACACATGAACAACCAGTGTGTTACAATGCGTTGCTGGTGTCCTCTGTGTGGCTTCCAATGTGTCCCAGCATTACTTTAGGATGGCCCAGACAAGCCAAATGAGTTCCCAAGATGTCGCCCAAATGATCCCAGGTGCCCCAACAATACTCCAGATTTCGTAATAAAGGGAGGGGGGTCTCATTTCGGGGGGGGGTCTCTTCCAGGCTATCTTGGAGGGCCTGGGGGGGTCTGGGGACGATGTTTTGGAGGGTTCTCCCACGGGGGGGGGGTCTGAAATGGCTTGTCTTGGAGGGTCCAGACCCCCTCTCTTTTATTACGAGATCTGGAGTACCCCAATATGGCACGAAGAGTCGAAGAGGCATCCAAAATGGCCCCTGAGGCCCTACGATAACCAAATTCTTGCCCACTATTGCCCGAAACAAGCCTCAAGATACTCCCAAATCGTCCGCCAACCAACCCGGAAGTGCGCTCGGGAACTGACTGTCGTCGTTCTTGCGGTCAGGGCTAGATGCTGGTCTTGTAAACGACCGAAACCGACACGACTCTCCATGCTTCTCCCCTGCCTGGATAAGGCAGCACGTGACAAGCAGGATACGCGCGCGCAGTCAGCCAGGCAGGCGGCTCCTGTTGTTGTCAGAGTCGTCCAAGTGCTCCTGGACACGCAAGTCAATCCCCCCCCCAAGACAGGCAATGCTTGAGCACTCCGCGCGCGTGCTCCCTCCCGGGATGATCCCTCAGCTCGCGCGCCTGGCAGCCTGGCGATTGCCCAGCTACTAAGAGTGCTGGAAATGCTCACAGGACTGCTGTGGGAGCGAGGTGCTGCCGCGGGAGTGAGATCTTCGCGGTGGCCGTAGGCATCAGCGGAGAGGGCAGTGATGGCAGTCAATGAGCTGTCGTGGCAACAGCGCTTCGACAGGAAGGGCCAGAATTCATGATTGTATTGGGTGCAACTGCAAAAGGATAACAGAGGCCGCAAGGATCAATCCACCACCATACCGCCCGCACGTAGAGGAGTGCTCTCAAGCCCTTGACGGTCCTCAGCATTAGACGGTTCAGAATATTCTAAAAGCCAGGAGCCCTCGATTGCAGGGTGCTCCTAGGGGCTATCGCGGGCTTTCTGGGCTGCTCGCGGCAATTCCCCGAAACTTACGAACATGAGTGAAATTCTGGCATCCGACATGATCCAGGGACTGTGTTGGGGCCGCCTTGGGTGCCCTGGGCCTGCTCTGGAGGCGCGAGCCAAGAACACGAATACTACATATGGTCCTTCGGTGCTTTGCAATTGTCGCCTGATCGGTCCTAATGGCGTCCGAGCCGTGCCAAACAAAACAGGAGGAGCTCGACCACAAGAAACCTTCCACAAGGAACCCAACTCTGAGACCCCAGGACGCCCACTGATTTTTGGTGTGGGAACGTCACGCTTCCCATCGCAACACCATCGAAACCCAAGGAACCCAGGGCACCCTGGACGCAAGCAAGGTGCTTCTTGTCATGGGTTTTCAGTGCATCTCAGATCGCCAACGACGGCCCCTCAAAGCTCCCTGGGTTTGCGTCAGATGGCGTCTACGTGCAAGACCCTCGGTCCTCGAGGACCCAGCCGCATTCACCCCGAGGAGGAGCACGATGAAGAATATGTTTTTCTCCGGCAAGGATCACACCAGCCAAGCGACGATGACTCAGCTGTGGCGGTTTGCAGTCCGAGCACGATGAAGAATACTTGCATCTCATTTCCCCGCGGGCCAACCATCTGCGCCGCAGATGGTTGGCCATCTGCGCCGCAGATTCTGCGCCGCAGATTCTGCGCCGCAGATTCTGCGGTGGCAACTCATGGGCGCCTCCCATACCATCTTGTTGGCCCTTGCGAATCGGCGCTAAATCGACGCTAATCGACGCTAAATCGACGCTAATCGGCGTTAGCCGACGCTAAATCGGCGCTATCTCATCGACTCCCAAGCGCTTATGGACGCTAACCGACGCTAAAGACAGAATTGCGAGGATACACAAATATCCCATGATTTGCTACAGAAAATCGTCAATGCCAGCAGTCCCAGATGACCAAAAAAGAAAGGCCACGGCACGGAGGCCACCTCAGCACGCAATCGACGGGGAAACAACGCGTGGAGCCAACGGCGAGGCCTGACTCCCTTGAAGCGAGGTGCTGGCCAACCGGGCCAAATCCGAAGGATTTGGACGCTGGAAATACTTACGGGAAAATGGGTACACTGCCAAGCAATACATGTTGTTCAAAACCAGCAGCGACCGCTGTTGGGCAGGCGGCTCTGTCTTCAGTGAACAACGTCCGTAGCGGCGCGGACAGCGAGTCTTGTTCAAAATGATCAGGAACTGCTGTTGGGCGAAGTACCCACTCTTTCCGTACCCACTTCGATCGTCCCGAAAGGAGACGACGCTTCCAAGGCACCGAGCGCTCGCGTCCACCCCTCAAGCTGGCTCAGCCAGCGGGGGAAACGTTCATCTGCCACGTGCACCTTCTGCTGCCTGCCGCCCGACCCCGCCGGCGCACCCTTGGTAGGGCTGCAGGAGGTCGCGGACTGCGCCACCACGATCGGGGAGACGTAAGACTCGGGTATGGGGGACTCGGGTTGGCCTGACGGGGCCATCATCATAAAAATGAAGAGACCAAATCTGAAATTTGGCGCGAACTCCCGCTGCAAACATCCCACAAAAACTGGACCGTCAAAATCCAGGACGCGCTTGTCAAAAAACGCCGGCAAACCCGAGTTCTGGCTTACTCGAGTCTTACGTTTCCCCGACACGAATGCGTCGCCAGACGTGCAGCAGAGCAGACTGGGGGCCGCCAAGATCAGGTCAGGATTGGCACCGAAGATGCGCGCCACGCAGATTTCGTGGCCACACAGCTGCACGAGGAAGGACCCCGTGCTCTCGGTCCACGAGCGCGGATTAGGAGGGTGAAGATGAGCAGTGAGAGGAATGATGACAACCACCAAAAAACAGGAATAGCCAGCGTCGAACTCATCCATTTCCATACGAAAGACAAGCCCGAATCGGTGAGAAACTTTGAGATGGGCCCTCACTAGAAGTTGCGGGATCCCTTCAGACCGGCACCGACACGAGGTGATGCAAATCATGGTGGGTAGGGGTGTGCTGCAGGCTGGAGAGCAGGAGGAAACAGGGATATGATTGGCATGAAGGAGTGCAGGAGGAGGATCCGGACAGAAACGAGTTTTGGGCCCGAAGGGCTCTCCTAGCTCTTCATCCCGAATTCAGAGGGATCTGCTGACCCGGGTCAATCCAGACCAAGGTCAGTCAGGCCTTGCAAAATCTTGCAAGAACCTGCAAGATCCTGCAGCCAGACCCGGGTCAATAAGGACAATCCTGCAAGACTCTGCAGGATCCTGCACCCAAGCCCGGGCTAATGCGACCCTGGCCCTGCAGGATCCTGCGAGATCGGGCGCTCTGGCTGACCCCCGCTTGCATTGACCCCCGTCTCAAGGCTCCCGACTGCTCGACGCCCACCTCGAAGCTTTTCGAACGGGGCGCGGCCACCGAAAGTGGCCAAGGATGGACTGAGGAGGCAAGGATGCAAGGGTACCCTTGGAAGGTTGCCCATACGTACTGTGCGGGCTGTCTGTAGAGGTATGGGTACCTTTTCCTCCTCGGACATTCATTTCTAGAGAATGGGCACTGCTGACTTGTGGGCTCAGCTCTGGGCGCCCTGCGAATCGTTTTGTTGACGGCCCCGGGGCCTGGGAATGGCCACGAAGACCAGAGGCCTTCCAGGCGAAGACGGAGGAGCAGCACGCCGGCGGGCTCCCGGCGGCGGCGGCTCCCGAGAGGGGAGGACAACGACGAAGAGGTGGGCCTCGAGCGGAAGGAGAGCTGGCGGCATACGTAAACATAAACCTTCGGAGCTTCGCGCGGAGTTTGTCGATCTGCGCTGGACCCCCCTTCGTCGGCGCGCGGAGGGCGCCAGGGGCGGCGCTGGAGGCGCCGCCAGGGGGGGGGGCAACGCAGATGCAAGAAACCCGCGCGGACCTTCGAACATTGATGTTTACGAGGTTGTTCCTTCTTCGAGAGGGAGGACTGAGGCGAAGACGAAGAGATGTGCCCCCCAAAACTTCGGCTAGACGCAAGAGTAACCCTGGGCAAGAGTGACACTTGGTGCGCGACTTTCGGGGAGCCGCGGAGGGGCCAAACCCAAGCGCGCCAGAGTCTTGCGGCAAGACGCTACTATCGCAATCGCGCTCGGCGATCGCGGGACCCAGATGGGCCCGCACCAAAGGTCACTCTGGCGAAAGGTCACTCTTACGTTAGAGGCCTCCTAGATGGGGTCCGAGTAGATGGGGTCCAAGGATCTCGCCGCATCGCCGATACATCCGCATCGCCGGTACATCGGCAATGCATCGCCGACGCATCGGCCATGCACTGGCGACGTCAGTGATGCATCGGCGACGCCGGCGTGGAGAAAATTCGGCCCCGCATCGGGCCGCATCGCTGATGCATCGCCGATGCATCGGCGATGCGGCGCGATCCCCCGACCCCATCTAGGAGGCCTAGGCACATTTAGTCGAAAAGCACTCCCACTCGAAAAGCGCTTTATTTTCCCCCCATCGTCCTTAAGAGCCACGTCCCAGGAGTAACTCCGACCACCCAGAAAAATATCGAAGCAGTGTCAAACAAAGAAGTATCGCCTCCAGGGGCCCGACTCGTGAACACCCGTTCTGGTGATCGAGGCTAAAGCAGGCTGGAACATCGCAGATCCTGCGCCCACTTCAGCAGCCGGTTGACGGCCGTGCCGCAGCACAGGACGCTCCTCGGGCCGGGGCGCGCGCTCGCGGCCCCGCCGGGGCCCCAACCCTGCGAGCTTCGGCCCCGGGGGCCTCGTCGTCGCCGTCGCCGTCGTCGTCGCCGCCGCCGTCGTCGTCGCCGTCGCCGTCGCCGTCGCCGTCGTCGTCGCCGTCGCCGTCTCCAGATGTTCGGGCATTGGAAAACGCAGAGCAGAAACTGTGTGTCGTCTTCGGCCTCCCAACGGGCCCCCGCCTGACCACCTCCCATGCACCGCGCCCTCCCAGGTGACTACCCTGAACCGCGCTCGACCACCTCCCATGCTCTTGAACATATCCCACCCACCCACCCGCAACTTGTTTTGCAAAATCCATGCGGCGGCGATTGCGATGAGTGCTTGGCGTTGGCTGGTGCATCTCTGCGGCCGCACTAGCCCGCGCATGCTCGCGCGCACAGCGGCCAGCTACTTTGGCGCGACCGACGCGGCTGCGGTGGCGCCGACCGCCTGGCACTCCCCAGCGGGCACTTCATCAGTGCGAGTGGGTGACTTGTGTGGGCGTTGTATCATGGCGACGCCGACAACGGCAGACACGATTATGAGAGTAGCCATGGTGACGAAAGTGGCGATGATAACGGCAAGGCCACTGACGGCGCCGATGCTGATCACACCGACGACGATCACGGCGTCTTCGCGTCGGTGTTGCAGGTTCTGGAAGGAATTCGACATGCGCACGCGGCCGACGCGCGAGAGTAACCGCATGGTATGATTTGACACGGATCGTGCCCCTCAGCACGCGTGAAAGGGCGTTCGAATCATTTCGGCATGCGGCGCGAAAGGCCCGTTTGGCAGCATTCCATGAACATGTTGAAACACCGATGGTTCTTTCTTAAGATTCGCAAGAGCGCGAACGCAGGCTCTTTGAAAATTGATGTTGCGAAACCCTGTTTTTTGTTGGGACACTCGGATTGGAAATCCTTAGGGAACCGAATATTTTTGACAGATTTCGGCATGCGCGCGCGACGGCGCGCGCGTGTGCACGTCGTCACATGTTTGTATTTCGCCAGCACGCGCGCAAGGGCGTTCGAACGGTTTCGACATGCGCGCGAAGCCCGTTTGGTAGCATGTATGAATATGTTGAAACAAGATATGGTTTTCTTGAGAATTAGCAAGAGCGCGCGCAAGTTTTTTGTTGAGCATCAGTGTTGCGAGACCATGTATTGTTGTATGTGTGTTTGGACCATCGATTTAAACATCCTTACGAATCCCTGTTTTTTTTGTTTTAAAGATTTCGGCATGCGCGCGCGACAACGCGTGCGCGCGCGCGCGTGTACTTCGCCCCACTTTTTGCAAGGAATTCTTGACAACGGATGATGTTTTATAAACGAGTGCGCACGCATAGTACTTTTTGCAGAGGATGGCGGGGGGGGGTGTCGATACCGGTCCCCCTGCGATGGTGCGAGATCATATGTAGGATGCGTGATGGGGCAGAAGCGCATGTACACTGCAATTCCAAAAAAGAAAACGGATCATCCGGGGGGGGGGGATAGGATCCGTCGCCGTCGCCGTCGCCGTCGCAATCGCCGCCGTCGTCGTCGTCGCCAGGCATTCGAGTAGGGGATCGACTACAGAATTGATTTACCCAGAATTGGTTGTCTCGTCGACTCTATGGAAAATTCTCAGAATTCGCAGTGCACGTACGAAGATTATACGCATTCGTTGTAGATTCGCTGGGGGAAAATCAAACTTGGGGTATATCGATTCTCTAGTCGACCCCACTCATCGGGGCCTTGGAAAAAGCAGCGCAGAAACTGCTGGTTGTCTGCGGCCTCCCAAGGGGCCCCCGGCGTGCCCTGGGGCCGCCATGGCTCCACGGCTCGGGGCGCGAGGCCGGCCTCCGGGGAGCAGGTCGGGGCCCCCTGCGGGACAAATCGGCTCCAGCAGAAGGATCTTCTTGCCGAGAGTGCCCTCCCTCCAAGAGAAGCCCACCCAGGAGGCCCACCAGAGGCCCAAAAGAGGCCCCAAAACGGCCTCCAAAAGGCCTCAAATGTGCTGCCAAGCGGCCCCCGAGAGACCCACCAGGACCCCCCAAGGGGTCGGCGGTGCGGCAGAAGCCCAGAAGAATCTTCGTGCCGTGAGCGCCCTCCTTCCCGCACCGCCCTCCGCGGCCGCGCTCCGCCTCGCCACCCCCCCCCCCTCCCCTGCCGCTGGACAAGCCACGCGGGCGCGAGCCTGGCTCACTGGAACGCGCGCGCGCGGACCGTCCCTGCCGCGCTGCGATGCAGGACAGGGCTGAACCTAAACAGTGCTTTTCGTTTTCGTTTTGTTCTCGTTTGCCCTCGTTTTGTCTTCAATCCGCCTTTACCGCAAAACGAAGTCGAGAACGAAAACGGCCCACGAAATCGCCAGGAAGTGGGACACATCGGGAAACATCGGATGGCCAGGCCCTGGCTGTCGTCGCGGCACCCTGGGGCCCCCTGCGTTTGGGACGCTGGGGTGCAGCAGCCAGGGTGTCGGCCTGTCGGCGTGCTGTCGGCACGCCTCGGGGAGGAACGGTCCGAAGTATTCCTGGCCCTCCTCGTCCTCCTCGCCCTCGTGTCCAGCACCCTCCTCGCCGCCCTGCTGATCCTCCTCCTCCTCCTCGTCCTGGTCGTCGTCCTCGTCGCTGTACTGCTCCTCCTGCTCGTCGTCCTCGGCCTTTTCCTCGACCTTGTCGCTGTGATCGCCGTCGTCTTGGTCATCGTCGTCACCGTCGTTCTCCTCGACACCCTTCCGCTTTCCTCCTTCTCCTTTTCCTCCTCCTCCTCATCATCGCCATCATTATCATTATCACCGTGCACCATGTCGGGAACCCCCTCAAACAATTCGTGGCCCCATTTGGAGTTCCACCGAAAGCACTAGCGGCAGGGTCCGCATGGCGGCCCCGCACCAGAACCAGCACACCCCTCACACGTTTCGTGCAGGGCTGGACCTAAACGTTGTTGTTTGTTTTGTTGTTCGTTTTGCTCTCCTTGCTTTCCTGTGCCTCCCTGCCAAATAAGAAAAGCAAAACACAGCCGAAGTCCAGCAGACCAGCGTTTAGGTCCAGGCCTGGTTTCGTGCCCCATAAGGAGCTCCACCGAAGGGCCCCAGAGGCAAAGTCCGCATGGCGGCCCCGCGGCCCCGCTCCCCGTCTTGCCGCCTCCTCCTCCTCCTCCTCCCGCCTCCTTCCGAAGTCCCTCCGATAGCACCGATGCCCGCTCTCGATCCCCCCGCCACCCCAGCGAAGTGCAGCCCACGGCCCCCCGAACGCGGGGCCCCGAGACGAGCCCCATGGGCGCGCGGGCGGCGCTCCTCGACGCGCCCCCGCGGGCCTAGGCAGCGACCACCGACCCTGCCGAACGGCGGCGGACGAGGATGACGATTGTGAATGCTGCGGCGACGGCGGCGGCGACGATGACGGCGGCGACGACCAAGACGGCGGAGAAAACATGTTTCGTGGACGTGTGGCTGAGGCAAAAATTAGCTTGGCGAAGGACCCAACCATATGCAGTTGTGAATGCCGCAGTTGTGCTGGGTGGTGGCGGACGCATGCGGGCGGTGCCACTGGGACCGTCGGTGGAGCTCCCTATGGGGCCACGAAGCGCTGTACTGGGTGGGTGAGACGCGGTCAGCAAGGGCTGTGCTGCGTGGTGGCGGACGCATGCGAGCGGTGCCACTAGGACCTTCGGTGGAGCAACCTATGGGGCCACGAAGCGCTGTACTGGGTGGGTGAAACGCAGGCAGGGAGCAAGGGCTGTGCAGGGTGGTGGCGGACGCATGCGGGCGGTGCCGCTGGGACCTTTGGTGGAGCTCCCTATAAGGCTACGAAGCGCTGTTCTGGGTGGGTGAAGCGCAGGGAACAAGGGCTGTGCTGGGTGGTGGCGGACGCAAGCGGGCAGTGCCACTGGGACCTTTGGTGGAGCCCCCTATGGGGCCACGAAACGTGCGAGGGGTGTGCCAGAATGGGGTGTGGAACCGCATGCCAGCGCAGCCACTGGGGCCTTCGGTGGAGCTCCCTATGGAGCCACGAAACGTGTGAGGGGTGTGCCGAAATGGGGGGTGGAACCGCATGCGAGCGCAGCCACTGCGGCGTTCGGTGGAGCTCCCTATGGGGCCACGAGACGTGTGAAGGGCGTGCCGAAAAAGGGGGTGGAACCGCATGCGAGCGCAGCCACTGGGGCCTTCGGTGGAGCTCTCTATGGGGCCACGAACCGTGTGAGGGGTGTGCCGAAATGGGGGGGGGAACCACATGCGAGCGCAGCCACTGGGGCGTTCGGTGGAGCTCCCCATGGAGCCACCCACGAAGCGTGTGAGGGGTGTGCCGAAATGGGGGGTGGAACCGCATGCGGGCGCAGCCACTGGGGCCTTCGGTGGAGCTCCCTATGGGGCCACGAAACGTGTGAGGGGTGTGCCAGAATGGGGGGCGGAACCGCATGCGGGCGCAGCCACTGGGGCCTTCGGTGGAGCTCCCTATGGGGCCACGAAACGTGTGAGGGGTGTGCCAGAATGGGGGGTGGAACCGCATGCGGGCGCAGCCACTGGGGCCTTCGGTGGAGCTCCCTATGGGGCCACGAAACGTGTGAGGGGTGTGCCAGAATGGGGGTGGAACCGCATGCGGGCGCAGCCACTGGGGCCTTCGGTGGAGCTCCCTATGGGGCCACGAAACGTGTGAGGGGTGTGCCAGAATGGGGGGTGGAACCGCATGCGGGCGCAGCCACTGGGGCCTTCGGTGGAGCTCCCTATGGGGCCACGAAACGTGTGAGGGGTGTGCCAGAATGGGGGGTGGAACCGCATGCGGGCGCAGCCACTGGGGCCTTCGGTGGAGCTCCCTATGGGGCCACGAAACGTGTGAGGGGTGTGCCAGAATGGGGGGTGGAACCGCATGCGGGCGCAGCCACTGGGGCCTTCGGTGGAGCTCCCTATGGGGCCACGAAACGTGTGAGGGGTGTGCCAGAATGGGGGGTGGAACCGCATGCGGGCGCAGCCACTGGGGCCTTCGGTGGAGCTCC